GTACTGAAAATACGGTGTGGAATCAAGCTGAAATCAAAATAAAATAAAAAAAATCGATATGAAACAGTAAATATCCTATCTCTTTACAGGTAGTTCTTTGACTCGGAGTCGAAGGGGACTCCCATGCTGACATTGCATTGCATCATTTTGCTATTGGATACTTTTGTCTGCATAGTATTGACTGAAGTGATTGCCTTGGCTTGTTTGTGGTATCTACTGAGAATAGTTTTAGTATTCCAGGCATTATTTCAACAATATTCTTCATATTTAACATAAAATGATTTTCTTTTAATGGTTTCTGAAGATCATCTCTTGCTGACAGTTTAATTGGAGTTTAGAAATCACTTTCGACAAGATTCTGAAGGTATCCATTTTTCTTCAAGACAGTAAGTAGTTGCTCTTCCTCTGTTCTTCTCAGGGATGAAGTATTGGGGTGTTTGGTTTAGCTCTTCTGAACAATTCGATTATTACTTTAGTAACTGAGTGGTTCTTCTGTGTGTGTGTGTGTGTGTGTGTGTACTTACTTACTTTACTTCGGCTATCTCCTACGGGAGGATGAGCCGGCTTCATGAACATCTCGAATCATCGCTGCCCAGGCGCGGCGATCTGATGCGTTTGTAAGAGAGTTCATGAAGTTTCACGGGAATTCGGTACGAGTGATGTCCCCAGAATCGCTCGGCCTTTTGTTTGAGAGTGCAACTCTAGCCTTTACACAACCGAGTGTGACCTACAAGGCAGTAGGAGTGGAGTAGGGAGTCCACTATCCATTGGCAGCCGGTCACCGGAGTTCGGTTCATACACCTTTTTGAATGGGGCCAGACATCCAGGACATCCAACAAGCCCTTTGTCCATACGTCTGCCGGTGAGCTCCAGTGAGCTTCATACGCCAGTCGTTGGAGGTTTGGAATCAGGGTCTAGCCATCTCTCCTAGACTGTCATCCAATGGACAGTCAACCCGGTGAAGAGCGCCGGGCATCAGCTTTCGCCCCCTCACTTTGGTGAAAAACACCTCCGCCACGTGAAGGCAGTGAGTAGGACTTCCTCAGGAGAGGCTATGTAAGACGCCCGGTCATATGGGAACATTTCAAGAGGTGTGTGGAGGGGTGGCCAACCCGCAGCGCAAGGCACCCACCCCCGACCATCCTGAGGCTTTGGAGGCCTGTGTACGTTGATTTTCTGCATACTCGCTCTCCCACATTTTGTGAGTTTGTTCCTTCGACTATGACTTCTAAGAAAGGAATTCTATTAGCGGATTATTCTTCTCTATTGTAATTTTTGAGGTCTTCGAACTTGGACACTGTGGCAGTAGAGTATAACTCCATTATGGATAAAATTTTAATTTGATAAAATCACACAGTGTTCGTCATACAGTAATATTTACCGATGCAACCACACGCTTAGAGCACACTTCGTTACTGCCAGCCATAATCATATCAAGGCACTACTCATTCACACAACTTTCTTCCTTCATTTATATACATGAGTAAAAATTGATGCGATTAAACATTTGATGAATAAAATCAATATAAATAAGATAAAGTACATTCGGAAATAATAGTATGAGTGTTATCAATGAAATACAATCAGATGGGAAGGGAAATAAGATGTTTTCATAGCCAAAATAAGTAACTTGTTAGAATATTATAATTTAGGTATGCGGTAAATGACCCTGAAAGCGTGGTTAACATCAATCTTATGTTCTGTCTCCACAAGATGAGACAGAATAGCGCTGCGAATAGATTTTGTTTGTCCTTTACTTAACGACTATGCGTGATGACGTTCTCTGAAATTCAACTAGAAACACGCCTAATTGTAAGGCCTATGTTACTGGCTCCACAGGAGCAGTTAAATTGGTAGATACACATGAAAGAGGCGAAATTAGGCAGTTTATCTTTTATTCCCGAACGCAGAAGAGGAGTGGTTTTAATGACACAGCATAATTCAGCAGCAGGGAATGCTGCTTGAAGACAATTGGTTAGTAAATATTCCTCTTTTATTTTTCTTACGACTGAAATGCTGTAGGATGTCTTAACTTTTTTGAATAATGTTTACCTACACAGTTTCTTTTATATGGTGTTGTGTTGTTGAGGTGTCATTCTATGTGGCCACGACCTTCTAGTTACAAGGCTAGCGAGCTTATAGACAATTAAGCCACTGGAACCTAATCCAATGGTTTATGCAATCCTAACTTCTGTCAATGGACGATAGAGCGCGACTGGCACTAACTAGCCAATGTCATCGACGCGCTGTACCCCACTTGTCATGAATTGAGAAGATGAAGAATAAACAGCCATTGACTTAAACTGCTGATTTCAATTTTTGGCTGCTTCCTATCCATCTGCGTCCATACATTACTGATACATCGTGTGAGTAGCACACGCTAGAGTACCATCTCAGTCTGCACAAACCACACTGTTGTTTTCGCTTTTGATTCAAATTCATAAAAGGAGGAGGATAAGTGTAAAAAAACAATGAAAAAGGTGTCTTCCGTGAGGAGACTTAACCAGATTTATGGTCTAATTATTTTATTGGTAGAACTATAGTTTAGATAATCATAAACCTCCCAGCTCATAAGAGAACATATAACCACATCACAAAAATATCATACACAGAAATCAGAGACACTACAGATTATTTTAAAGCATAGTTTTCACACTCATACACAGAGAAGGCGAGAGATTAGGTGGATAAGGTGAGGATGACTCACCATTTCTGTATATATGTTAACTTGTTTATGGGATATTCTAGTCCAAAAAAACAAACAACAGACGTTGCTTAACTGTGAAGCTTATTGGTAGTTAAAATCACGTGAGGGCCGTCATATTATTTGTCTCCCTCAGTTACATTCACCACCAATCAATCAATCAATAAATCAATCACACGACTAACTAGGCGTGATTAAAATGTATGCTAAGCGAAAACAAAAACAGACTGACTCTAGAAGGCTGTACATCAGTTAACAGATGACATTAGAAATAAATCTGTCCAAATTCTAGTACATAAATAATCGATCCTGCATATAATATTTAGATGGCCGACAACAAGATGAATAGCTTATGCTGTCAAACGCTTGAATTACTCATGTCGCCTAATGAGATTCATTAGGACAATACGGAAAATGAAACGAAAGTCACACATATAGGAAGGGTGAGAATAAGGCAGAGTTCAACAATAGCGTCTCCAGGAGTGAGAACGCTCCAATGACCTTGAAGACATGCTAGTCGTTGTCTAACGGTACCTGTCATTATCATAACTGAAATATCAACGCTATTCACCGACTAAGAAGCAAATTTCGGCCAGATCACGTTATTAAGTACTATTTGGACAATGTGTTAATAGCTCGTTAGGGTTAGGATCAGGGTTATAATTAAGGTTAGGTTTACAGTTTGGATCTATCTCCAATGAATAACCTGATTGCAGTAGACTGGATAATGCAAAGGACACACAGTGGGCAGCGAGGAAACAGGTATAAAATAGACCCAGACCAAGAACTTGAGGAATCTGGACTTCGCCCGCCGATGATATGTGTCTGATTTCCCACAAACTGGAAGATATGCAAGTGAAAAGCAACAAGTTGACAGAGGAAGAAGCATGAAAGATAGGCCTCCAGGTGAACACAGAGAAAACAGAGGTGATGAAGATCTCTGGCCACCAGCAACTGCAACAACAACAGACAACAATCAGCCAACATAAATGGGAGAAATCTGAAAAAAGCAACCTCCTTCACACCTGCCTACTTCCCTATATGAGAAGCATCGTTTCAACTACAGGCGGACGGAACTGATGAGGATACCAAAGCCAGGCAAGCTTCCATTTCTCTCAAGTCTGTGTGCAGATCAACACCCAGCACTCATCACGAAAAATAACATCCGGATTTTCAACTCCAATGGAGAGTCAGTGCTACTTACTATATGGGTCAGAGACTTGGCGCGCCACGAAGGGCACTTTAAACAAACTACAGACCTTCATCAACAGTTGTCTTCTCTCAATACTAATCAAGATCAGATGGTCAGAAATGAATCAGCAACAGGGATCTTTGACAATGAGCGAACCAACCCAGCAGGAAGCAATCGTGCAACAAATATGTAGGAAGAAATGGAGGTGGATTGGCTGGCCATACTCTGAGGAAACCATCAAGTGGCATCACTAGACAGGCCCTTGAGTGGAACCCGAATGGAAAGCAGCAAGTTGGTCGTCAGTGCAAGAGTGGGGTGACATGGAGGAGGTGATGTGAAGAGGGGATGAAAGCATGTGGGCAGATGTGGAGACAGGTGAAAAAGCTGGCAGAGAACCGAACGCAATGGAGACGTTTGGCTGAAGCCCTATGTTCCTCTAGGAGCTAAAGGAAACAATAATAGTAATAATAGGGTAAATATCTCTAATATGCCGCAAAAACCGGGTCCCAGATTCTCATAGAAGTGGTTATAGACATATCAAACCAATGTATTCTCTGTTTCTCCAGCCATAGCAGAGATACTGGTTGCATATACGCAATATATTACTAAGGGAGAGATTTGATTTCGAGAGGAGAGTGTCTAAAAAATCACCAGTTATGTACAACTTACCAACTTATACAGACTTCCTCCTATAAATTGGTTGCATCTGGATGTATAACCATCAATAGCCCGGCAATAATTTTTCAGAGTCATTACCCCCGCCCCACATATACATGTTTTATTCCTCCCCTATCAACACACTTTCCCCAAAGAAGTCAAAAATCAAATCTAGGAGATATTTTCAACAAGGATTAGGACTAGCAACCATTGTCAATGCTGAGCTAATCTGATTGACTGGTTAAATCAAGGTCATTTGACGTTACTGTCTTTTGGTAACTCTTGCCCCAAATAGACTGTACAGCGTAGAACGCAATCATTCCACCAGAATTTTTATTTAAAAGCAATAATAATAATGATAATAACAATAGCAATAATGATAATAGTATTAATAATAGTAATGGTGATCACAGAGGCAACACTCGACTCCTGGGATTTATGAACATCTCAACTATGATCCACATTACGCATGAACACAATTGTATCTAATATTCGTTGACTAAAACTCATGTGCATATCGAACCTAAATTAGAGCAAAAAGAAGAAGAAGGAGAAGCAGGGGGATAAATCAATATGCATTTAAAACAATATTCTAACCAACAAAAAGTTGTGTCAAGACAAAATGTAAACTTCAGCTGAAATGGGGTAATTCTAAAATAAAATCACACAGTGTGTATTATACAAGAAGTAATATTTACTGTTGCGACCACACGCTTCGAGCACACTTTATTACTACTGCCAGTCATAATCATATCAAGGCACTACTCACTCACACAACTTTCTTGCTTCATTTATATACATTAGTAAACATTGATGCGATTAGACATTTGAATAAAATCAGTCAATATAAGATAATTTACATTCAGAAATCATAATATGAGTGTTATTGATCAATTACAGTCAGATGGGAAATAACACGAGTGTTTTTATAGCCATAATAAGTAACTTGTTAGGATGTTGTGATGAGCTTTAATTTAAATAGAATTTTGAGATTCACATGACCTCCTCCAAGTCGCCCTTGGTCGTCCAAGGGCGACTTGGAGGAGGTCATGTGAAGAGAAGATGAAAACGTGTGGGCAGACATGGAGCCATGTGAAGACTCTAGCAGAGAACAGAACGCAATGGAGACGCACGGCTGAAGCCCTATATTCCTGTAGGAATTAAAGGATACAATAATATAATAATAATTGAGATTATTTATTATCCTCCTCTGATTTGACTGACTGACTGGTGGTAATAATATCTTCCATGCATATTTCTGGTATTTGCAGTAAGTCACTTCTGTTTCATGTGTTGGGTGTAGACTCAATGAACCAGGATTCAGTAATCAATCTCTCTCTCCACCTACATAGATTACTTCTTAGAATCTTAACTCTCTCCCAACCTATTGTGTGTGTGGTTGTGTGTTAATGCATGCAGTGCAGTATAGTGCAGAGTGCCTTTTTTCTAAATTACTTATCTTCGCGAGTGGGATCAACCATTCTTACCTTAGCCAAATTCTTATGTTCCGCCAATCTGACTACACCCGATCTACCAGTTTGACCTATATAGTTGACCTCACAGTCACTGCAAGGTATTTTGTAAATTATATTATTTTGTTTAATTTATACTTAAAATAAATAAATAAATAACTTGTTAGAATGTTATAAAATGAATTGAATACATTTTGACATTATTTATTATCCTCTGATTTGACTGACTGGTAGTAATAATATCTTCCATATCTCTAGTATGAGCGATGCTGAGTCACTTCTATTTCCCATGTGTTGTGTTGGGTGTAGATGCACTCGATGAACCAGTCAGGATTCAGTAATCAGCCTCTATCTCTCTCTCCACCCACCTACCTATATTACTCTTTAGAATTCTGACTCTGTCCCACCCACCCTATTGTGTGGTTGTGTGTTAATGCATGCAGTGCAATCGCTGAGCTTTCTTCTAAATTACTTATCATCGTGGGATCAAGCATTCTAACCTTAGCTGAATTCTGACGATGTTCTGATAATCTCACTACTTCCGATTTACTAGTATTGTGGTGGTATGATACAGACAATGTGTTCCAATGGAATATTATTCTCACATATTCCTACAGTTCAATATATATATATATATATATATATATATGTAGGTGGAGAGAAAGATTGAGGTTGATTACTGAATCTTGACTAGTTCATCAAGCCTACACTCAACACATGCAATAGAAGTGACTCAATGCAAACACCAGAAATATGCATGGAGGATATTATTACCATCAGTCAGTCAAATCAGAAGAGGATAATAAATAATCTCAAAATTCTATTTCAATTCAATTCACGTACATCACAACATTCTAAGAAGTTACTTATTTTGACTATAAAAACACTCGTCTTATTTCCCATCTGGTTGTAATTGATTGATAACACCCATATTATTATTTCCAAAAGTACTTTATCTTATATTGACTGATTTTATTCATCAAATGTCTAATCATCAATTCTTACTCATGTATATAAATGAAGGAAGAAAGTTGTGTGAGTGAGTAGTGCCTTGATATGATTATGACTGGCAGTAATAAACTGTTATCGAAACTTGGTTATCAGTAAATATTTCTGTATGACGAACACTGTGTGATTTTATCAAATTAAAATTTTATCCATAATGGAATTATACTCTACCACCACAGTACCCAAGTTTTATCCTCATATCAAGAGCCTAGTAAATATTTTAACTGGACACTACTCACTAGTGTCATGCGTCTAGTCCGTAGTTTGCTGTAGTTTGACTTCTATCGTCGATCAAGTTTTTAATGTGGCCACCATGCTACTAGCTGTGTGGTTCATCATTATAGTACACTTTGAGTTAACTGGTATTAGACGGTTGGAGGCAATCGGTAGGAAACCTTGATTGACTGACCTAGATTTCATGGCTAGCCCCCTTGCATGGTAGTCAAATTGAAAACTAGATTGATAGAATTTATTCTGCACCAAACAAAGAATTATATGCATGACAGCATTTAGCGTCCAGTCAAAGTACACAACACAGTACACTTCTACAGGAGGTCAGTCGGTAACTGGAACAACTCGGTGGTAATATCCCTGACTGCAGCACTGGGTGATATGGGTTCGAATTTCAGAAGGAGGGGCATGAGTCACTTCAACGTCGCAGATACTATGCCTTGCTGACTGGTGTGTGTTTTAAACAAGCACGAAACCTAGGTCCAAAGCTTCCTTCTGACTGCTTCCAAACATCTAATAAACTAAATAATTCGTTTTGTTAACATCCGTTTATTATTGCTATTGTTCCGCCTGGGTTCCAAGTAAAACATAGGACTTCATCCGGCACACATCTCCATTTTACCCTGTCCTCTACAGATGTATTCAACCCCTCAGCTTTCGTTTCCTCTTCACCCTCAAAGCGACACCAAACTGGTCGTTCCCCATTCGAGTTCTACAAAAGGACGACAGCCTGATGCGTACTGTCACTCTCACATCTCCATTTCCTTCGGTATACTTGTTGGATAGCAAACTCCTTGGATATTCATTTCTTAAGTTTCATTTTCACTTATTCACATTCTCTCTGACAACAATCCGATTTTCATTATCGAGACAGTGAAGGTAAATTTAGATAAAAGTTGACAGTAACCTACTGAAAAATCTCCTTTTCATCAGGTGTTAACTCCCTAAAATATAAAGAAGCATTTGTGCTTTTATGCTGAGTTAGTGTAGAAGATTTCCCACACTCATTTCAAATTAATGAAGGTTTTTTTGAATTTCTGATCTTGGTTTCCCTGTACATGCATCCTTATCTGTACCGCCTTTCTGTAGTTAAAACGATACTGCCTGAATAAGTGAAACTGGTGACCTCCTTAGAAATTTTATTACCATCACTTTATCACTGAATCAAACAAACAGTCTGATATGGTGGTCTGGAAATAAACCAATCAGCATTGGACAACATAAAATGACGCCGAATATTTTATCGATCATTATTACACCCTAATTGATATATTATTATCATTATTATTTCTTTGGGTTCGAGTGGAACATAGGGCTGGTTCAACAACACATCTCCACTTCGTTCTACTTGGTGACGTCCTCTTCAGCTGGCCGCACAATTACCCATAATATCTCACCTACTCCAAATCTCACGATCTCCTCCATGTCACCCTTTCACCGACGAACCATTGGGATTCCACTCTAGTGATGACTCGCATTAAACGTGATTTCGTTTGACGGTCTCTTCAACGTATACCCGATCAATCCATCTCCATTTTATTCTACATATTTGTTGAGCGATCAGATCTTCCTTGTTGGTTTGTTCCCAGCCAGCCAGAGTTTCTTGTTACTTATTCTTTCTGTCCGAATATTTGATCTCCAGTATGGAGCCAGCCAGCGAAGTGGGCAGCTGTTGGTAAAAGCCTGTAACCTGTTGGAAATCCTTTTCGTGAAACGCTCGTCAAGTTTCTGACCAGTATAGAATAACTGACTTCACATTTGTGTTGAACATCCGAATCTTGTTCATTATTCTGGCGTGTCTAGTCTTTCCGATTATGACTGGCCAAATTTGACATCTTCATCCATTCCTCTGGTCTGTAGTTGAAACGATGCTCCCTAGCCAGATAAGTGAAGGAAGTGACCTCGTTCAAATTTCTTCCGTTGATGGTGATTGGCTCATGTAGTTTTTTTTGTTGCTATTGGTTGGTTTTATTCATCACCTCCGTCTCCTTTGTGTTCACCTGGAGTCCTTTCTTAGCTGCCTGCCAAACCCTTCTGCCAATCGGTTGATTTTCACCTGCAAGTCTTCGAGGCTGGGTGATATTAGACATAAGTCACCCGTAAAATCCAGATCTTCTAGATGGAGTCTTCTTATCTGTCCAACGTATTCTTGTCTTCTTGCTACCTACTCATAGTCTGACGCCTAATCCAATCCACTACAGTCATGAATAGCATCAGCGATAATTGGCGGTTAGCTTTGTCTTACCCTTGTATTTATTTCAAAGCCTTCGCTGAGTTCTCCGTCGTGGATCACCTGACACGTGGAAGTGTTATACAGCCAGCTATTGAATGAGGTCAATAAAGATTTGGGGTACTGCACTCCATAGTGTTAAAGCAGTTTCCAAATAACTTCTCGGTCAACGCTGCCTGTCGAAAACCTTTCAAAGTCGATGAAGTTGAGGTAGAGTGAGATTTGACCTTCATTCTATGCTTTGTTTGAAGATGATGTGTACAGTTGCAATTTGATCCATAAATGATTTACCTCTCCTGAAACGAGGTTGTTCCAGTGGGGCTGGGGGAGTTCTGCATCCAGCGTATCATTTATTCTCTCCAAGATGATGCGACTTAGTATTTTACTCCGCGTGGATTAGAGCATTATTCCACGTCAGTTCTCGTAGAGGCCCAAGTCATTCTACTTTGGTAGACAGCCTCTCTTCCAATCGGTAGACACCTTTCCTTCCCTCCAGACCTTTTGAAATGATGGCGTGAGCATTAATTGACATAGACTTGGTGATATTTTGAGGTGTAAATTATTGTGTGAAATATACTTTTGCGGCTCTCGTTGTTGTGTGGTCCAGTTTAAGTAGTGCAGGCTTGGAAGTCAGATAGCTGTTGCATAGTGTTGTTAGCGTAGTCAAGCGATTGTCGTAATCAGCGCACCAGTGTCCAACACGGCGTCCCTATTTCAGTCTCATTGTATTGAGGAACACAGTACAGTCAAATCCAGTATATATAATAACAGTTGCATTCTGCTGAAATTAAACATCAATCTTGATATATCACAAAGAGACTTTTGCTCAATTATTCCCTCGTTTTCCAATCGGTATGATTGGGAAACAACAGCATTTCAAGATTTGAAACTGCATTAATTTTATCAATTTTGAGAAAACTTTCGACAGTATTAGCCAAAAAGGAGTTGGGAAGCTACTTCAACACTATGAAGTACAGTACCGTAAATCTTTACCAACCTCATTCAACAGCTGGCCAAATGACAACGCCACGTGTCAAGTGATTCACAATGAAAACCTCAGCGAGGCGTTCGAAGTGAATACAGGAGTAAGAGAAGGCTTCCAGCCAATTATCACCGGTGATATTGATAAGTGTGGTGGACTGGATTTTGTGGAACACCGTGAATGCGGAGCTAGAAGACAGGACCGATCAGAAGACTTTAGAGGATCTGGATTTCGCGCATGGATGATTTGCGTCTAATGTCAAACAAACTCGAAGACTTGCAGGTCAAAACCAACCAACTGGAAGAAGAAGCTGGCACGCAGTGAAGACATGACTTCAATGAAATATAAAGAAGATAAGTGTAATGAAAATAGCCATCATCATTCTGAAATCAGTTTTCGAATTGTCTGCACTAACTCAAAATAAACAGGAAAATTCAGATTTTTCAAAACCAATATTAAATTATGCGATGTATTAGCGCTATACATTTCGAACAATCTGATCACACATTTACTTATCAAGTCAATATATATGGAAAGGTTAAATTAAACGAGGTTTAGAAAAAAAAGAATTAAGAATAATTAACACAAACTTTTGGTAATCCAATCAAATAAGGATTACCAAGGTAGGTTAAGAGTAATGACAAACTGTTTTTGAATACACAAGGGGGCTTAAGTTAATGAATGGCTATAGCCTCAGCGTATTTCAGTAAACGTCCTTGACCGTTTTTATAGATGACCTTAAAGGCTGAGTTAACATCAACCTTATGGTTCATCTCGATTAAATGTTTAGCTATAGACGAAGTTGGTAGTCTGGCACCTGCATCTATGGGCTATCAAAATTTATAAAAGGGACTAACTGTTTTAAATTAAATTATGCATTTCTTCTATACGGCTCAGAAACTTGCAGTGTAAATCCCGAAAAGCATTTCCAACGGAATACTTCAAATTTTTGTGAACAGCTGCCTTCGTTGGATCAATAGTGAAGAGTAGGTGGACGGAAAGAAAGAGTCATCAACAAGAAATTACAAGGAAAACCAATCAGGAATCTCTTTCTGAACAAATATGCATAAAATCATTGAGATGCATTCGTCATATGTTAATAATAATAATAAATCTACTTTATTCCAAAAACAGTACTTATAATACAGAATGGAATTCTCAGCATTTGTCACAATATTGCTTCTGATTTACTCAAAATATGAATAAAATTAAAAATTAAAATAAAATTAATCGGAGGAATTTGTCCACATTTACGACATAAAGTCAAAAATATTCGAAGCACGAATTGAGATTAATAATAATAATAATAATAATAATAATAATAATAACAGCGAGTTTGTTTCAAACGGTATTATCGATTCAGTTTGGGAACTTTAGCATGTTATAGATTATTGGGTCTAATGTTCTGTTGATATAATATAGTGAGGGGAAATACAAAATTAACAGTTATAACACAGCTTAAATGATGTCCACACTTATGAAAAAAATAAACAAAACGAAAAAAATTGAGAGGATTATAAATATAAGGAATACAATAACAATAATGTTTGATGCTTTAAGGGTGGAGAAAGTGGTTTATTTACTAGTGCAAAGAAGGTTAGTTAGTTTATGTCTGACACTATTTTCATCACATAAATTACGTGCTAAATATGGTATAGTGGAATTTTTATACTTAGACGTGCGTGCATAAATTCTTCTGAAAAGACTTCTTGTTTTACCTGAGGAGACACAAGGTTGGAGCTGTGGATAGAGTGGGTGCTCAGAGTCTGACAAAATTCCTCTAGCGAATCTGTTGCATGACATCAAATGCCTATCGGTGACAATGCCAACGATATGGACCAATGGGATACCACTCATCCTACTGACAGTCTTCAGAGTTCTACGAAGTATGACATAGTCCTTTTTAAGCAATCCAGGAAAGAATAAGAGTGAACAGTAAGGAAGAATAGGCAAGATTCATGAGTTGACAAATTGTAAGAGGAGGGGTTGGGTTATGCCTGAGTGCCGCTGAGTGACACCATGAGCCAGGCCAACGCCCAAGTGGAGTGGCGCTCCAATGAGAAACAATGAGTTGGACGGCCAATGGGTGATGTTGGGAAGATTGTGTGAAGTAGAGGAGATGAGAGCTTATGGAAAATCGCAAAGCCAACTAAGGAGAACTGTGAAGGAGATGTACAGTTGAAGCACACTGTCCCACTCTGAACCTAGAACAATATTATTACCAGTTGGTAAGCTATGTGAGACTGCTGAATACATCGGACAAGAATCGTATCCTGATGTCCTGCGTGGCATGGTAGGCCGTCTACCGATAAATCACCAACACACATACAATGATCAGATATTCACACACACACTTACCATGAAACTACACGAACTGTATTATCATCTTGCAGTTTACTACAACAATCTACATCTAATAGACATAAAGTGGATTTCTTTGAAGCATCTGATGAGACAAAGGCATCTTCTTCAGGAAGAAATTTTGCTATCGTTGTTAAATCGTTTTCATTTAAATTATAATATTCATGGATTGTTTCCTCATTTAAACCTGTCAGTAAGTAAATACAAATGAAACATGGCAGAAGATAAAAGAATTGCTAAAGGATCTTTTTATTATTATTATTATTATTATTATTATTATTATTATTATTATTAAGGGAAAACACATCATATTTATACAATTTTAAACACACTATAATAATAATAGTAATAATAATTTGCTTTATTTCAGAAACAGTAGTAGTGGTACAGTGTGGAATTTTCAGCACATATCTACAATATTTGCATCTAGTTTTATCCAACATTTAAAAGGAGTATTTCAAAAAAATAGCTTCCTGTAGGACATCAGTCAGTGGTCTAAACTAAATGGCCTCATGCTGAATCCCTCAAAATGGCAGACTGTTGACTTCTCCCTTAGGCATAAATGAGATCTACAAACACTAGTAATTACTGATGAAGTCTGTTGCATTGAGGGGACTAAAATTGAAACTAAGTCTAATGCAAAATACCTCGGTCTAGTTCTATCTTCCGAACTTACTTGGACATCTCATATCCTAACGATTTGTAAGAAAGTGTTCTGTCTAACCTACTACATTAAGAAACGTAGACAATCTGGAATCAACCAACCTCTACTTTCACAGTTTGTCAACTCTTGTATCTTACCTATTCTACTTTACTGATCCCCGTTAATCTTTGCTGGGCTACTGAAAAAGGACTATACCATCCTGAGAAGGATGTTGAAGGTAGTCAGTAGGACTAGTGGTGTAAAACTCAGTCAGCTCGTCACTTCATTAGTTGAAAGGCATCTGAATACATGCGAAAAATGGTCTGAAACCATACTCTCCGACCCCCAACACCCCCTCTATTCGCAACTCTCGCCTTGTATCTCATCAAGTAGAACCAGAAATCAATATAAAATAATTTATGCTCGTACAACCAAGTACAGGAACTCAACGATACCATTCTTGGCCCGTGTTCTAAGTAACAGAGGCAATGTTAAGCGTGAAACCTATGACTTGCTTTTTTGTTAATAGCATAATTTTAGGCTCTTATTTTTCTCTTATTTTTTATTATATAGTGAACTCCTTCTTAAACATACTTAGCTACCTAAATTATTAACATTGGCTTACTTTTTTGTACTTTACTATATTCCTTCTTTTGTGTATCTACTGGTTCCGACTATATTAGCACTATGAGTATTACAAAATTGTCCTGTCATTAACCATCATGTAATTATTAGTTTTTGTGGTTGTTTTTTTACTTTTTATTTTTTCCGCAATATTAACTGACAATCTTGGTTGTGAAAGCCATTATCACCATCTTAAAATTTTGTATTATGCAGGATTACTCATACTACCACTACAAACACTACATTAGACCTGACAGTAAAAAACAAAACAACAACCCTGAAATGTTATTTTATGATTGTTTAGTGTTGTTTCAACCAAATTAACTGATCTTCTTGGAGATAAACATTCTTAAATATCATTTCATAACTTCTTGTATGACTATAGCTTTACTGTCACCATGCACAATGATATCATAGCTTCCACTACCCAATACTGAGATATTATTATATGATGTTTATTTACCTTTCTACTTCTTGGTATTTTTTCGCATTTTTTAAAATTTCCTTTTGTGTTTTTTGTGTTTTCTTAGCTGTTCTCGTCTTTATTTTTTTGGAAATACTCCTTTTAAACGTTGGATAAATACTCCTTTTAAATTAGATAAAAGTCAGCTAGATTAGTGGACAATAAATTGTCTTGATTGGTTGATGACTGGTTCAAGGTCAAACAAGTTGTCCAATGAGATAAGATAAAGAATACAACGTAAACTAAATCTAGTTTTAAGGAATAAACACTCCAACCTATGCAGCGATCGATTTAAAATGTTGATTTCAATTTTTGGCCGTTTCCTATCCATCCGCACAAGCCACAATGGGTTTTAGTGACAAAAGATACCAGTGTGAATATATTATGTTATTATTATTATTGTTATTATTCCCCTGGGTTCCGAGTGGAACATAGGGCTGGCTTCAACAACACATCTCCACTTTCTTCTGTTCTCTGCTGTCCTATTCAGCTGGCTAGCTACACGATCACCCATGATCTCTCACCTCCTCCACGTCACCCGTGGACACCCACCCAACTCGTCATTTCCCATTCTTCTTCCATTAGAGCGATGTCATTCGATGGATTCCTCAACTTATGCTTGATCAATCCATCTCCATTTTTTCCTACATATTTGTTGAGTGATCGACTCCTGCTTGATTTGTTCCCAGTCAGAGTTTCTTCTTGCTTATTCTTTCTGGCCAATTAGCCATTCGATCTTCAGTATGGAGCCAGCCAGCGAAGTGGGTAGCTGTCGATGAAAGCCAGAAGTAGCCTTTCGGAAATGCTTTCCGTCACATGCAGATGAAATTTCTGACCCACAGAGAAGGAGCAATTGGCTTCACATTTGTGTTGAAAATTCGAATCTTTTTCCTTATGCTGCTGAGTTAGTTCAAAAGATTTCCAAATTGGTTTCAGGCTGATGAAAGCGTATCTTGCCTTTGACATCTTCATCCGTTCCGTTAGCTTGTATCTGAAACCGTGCTTCCTAGATAAGTGAAGTAGTTGACCTCTGTCAAATCTTCCCCACTGATGATTTTTGATGCTGGTTGTTAATGCTGTCGCTTTTGGTTGGTTATCTTCGTCACCTCCGTCTTCTCTATGTTCACCTGCAGTTCTTTCTTCGCCTGCAAGTTTTAGAGTCTGTGTGACATTAAACACAAATCATCCACGCGCGAAATCCAGATCTTCTAGAGTAAACTTGCGAGCTAATAAACTAGACGAGGTTAATGTGGATATACAGAGCCTTCTATTTCCGCCTGTAATATTACTAAGGTTAGGCATGGAGTATTAGGTAAGCAGGGAGAGAAAGTCATTCAGTGAGGCTGTGAAGCTATGCAGTGATTAAAAGAGGGTGGAGTACATGTTGCGGATTCCGAAGCATCTCCTTCCTTAACAGGCAATGAAAGCTGCTGACGTAGTATTACAATGAGAAAAAAATAATTAAGGCTGATCAAACCAAAAGCTGACATTAGTCCATGAAGTCTCTGACAGTCAAGTAGTGAAGTTTAACGTATCTGGTCAGGGTCATTGAAACTCAAGTGGGTGTGTGCTGCTGAAGAATTCCAATCTAGGACGACGAACAGCTGTCCAGTATTCCTAAGTCATGTGAGTCAGTGGTTCAATAGTAATGTAGTGAGAGCTGTCTGCCAGCCAAAATTGTAGACAACAATTTACGTGAGTGTTACGTCCAGAATCAGGGTCATGAGAAAAAAATAGTAACAAAGCTTAACCTTGGGGAACTCATCAACCCATAACAGCACATTTAACGTGTGCAGATAGGATTCACACATATATGGCTTGACTTTCTGAGAAACGGTCACAAACAGTACAGAATGACCTTGAGCAAGAAGACAACCAATTAGAAGACGTTGCTTGTCCGCTGACAATAACGCTAATAATAATGCACATAGAAATCTATAAATATCTGTTGATTTTCTGAACAAAGGATTTGTAACCTGGCCCTTGTCTTCTGACGTTGCAGTAGAACAAAAGGCCAACCAAGCAAATTTCACGGGGTTCAGTCCCTGGTCGACACACTCCTTAACGTCGCTTCTTCGGTAGTAAGCCTGGTAGAGAGGGGAGGTAGGACGTGAGGTTAGAAACCTTATCTCGTAAATAAAATGCCAAAGCTAGTGAAAATTCACAGCTCAATGCTGAAGCAGTCAGTATGTTCCACTGGGAATGCAAAGGAATTGAGTAAGTCAAGTAAGTATTCCTCCCGCTGAATCTTTTTGTTCACTCTATTATGGAGAGAACTACTGTCACACTTTCGTGCAAAGATTTGTACTGAGAAACAGTCAGTCAGTGAAGATGTACAGAAAATGTTTGTTATGTACTCTGAATTCTGATAAACAACTAAAACTGTAAGACAAAGGCAAGAAGAACAAATGAAAGGAAATTTTCAACATTTAAAGCTACTGATTATCACGGTATAAACCAACTCGCTGTAGTCTGTACTCAGGGAAATGATCCTTGAGTCCTATTGTATAGCTTTCTGAAACATTCTAGAGACAAATTATTATTATTGTTTTCTTTAATTCCTAGAGGAACATAGGGCTTCAGCCGTGCGTCTCCATTGAGTTCGGTTCTCTGCTAGAGTCTTCACCTGGCTCCAAGTCTGCCCATACGCTTTCAATTCTTCTTCACATGATCTCCTCCAGGTCACCCTTGGACGACCAACTCGTCGCTTCCCTTTCGGGTTCCACTCGAGCAATGGCTTGTCTAGTGATGTCACTCACTTGATGGTTTGTTTCCTCAGAGTATGGCCAGCCAATCCATTTCCATTACTTCCTGCCAATTTGTTTCACAATCGGTTCCTGCTGAGTTGGTTCGCTCATTGTCAGAGATCCCTGTTGCTGATCTTTTCTGGCCAGCCATCTGATCTTGAGTATTGAGCAAAGACAGCTGTTAATGAAGGTGTGTAGTTTGTTTGATGTGCTCTTTATGACGCACAGTGCAAGTGTCTGATCCGTATAATAGCACTGACTTCACATTGGAGTTGAAAATCCGGATCTCATTTTCATTTTCATGCTGAGTGCTGTTGACCTCCACACAGACTTGAGAGTAGTAAAAGCTTATCTTGCTTTTCCGAATGTTGCTTTAATATCCTCGTCAGTTGCGTTCTCTTGTAGTTGAAACGATGCTTCCCAGGTAGGTTAAAGAGGTTGTTTCTTTCAGGTTTTATTTATTTATTTATTTTGCTTACAGCTTGATGCCACACCGTATTTTCAGTACAAGTATGGAATTTTCAGCATGGATATCGGTAGCCCAAATTTAACAGACCGACCATAGATATGGGGTGTGCGTCGGCAGGGAATCGAACCCCGGACCATGTGCATGGTCGGCGAGAGTCCTAACCACTGTGCTGATTGTTGTCTGTTGTTGTTGTTGTTGCTGTTGGTGTTGCCCAGGAATCTTCATCACCTCCGTTTTCTCT